CCCAAGCCGTCTTTCTTCAACAAGCCATTTCTGTTCCTGGAAGAGTTAACTGATTTGCTTTTGCTGGAGAGTCCGAAGCACTGAGAACTAGGGGGTCTTCCCCTTCCTTTCCTTCAAGAAAGGCCAGCAGCCTCAGGCAAGCCAAAGTCCTTTCCTCCTGAATGCGCAGTCTCGTGAACTCCACTGTCTTCAAAAACTCTGCAGTTGGTGGCAGCTCTTTGAAGAGCTGGGAAAGGAGGTGGCACTGCTCTGATGCTGTCCTCTGAAGATGACAGAGCCTCTCAGGGCTGAGGGGACGCTGGTTGGACTTGGAGAGAAGACTGTAGAGGTTCCTATAGAGGTATTTTACGAAGATCAGGGTCTCAGCCCAAAAGTTGACTTCTACTTTTTCAAACAGGTAGTCTTCTTCCACCTAAATCAAATGAAAAGCCAAAAGTCAACCTTACAGGGGATGTCTGCAAGCCCCAGTCACGATCAGAGTCCTACCAGATGCAGAAGAGGTGTGTCGCCTCCCCCACCGGGGAGAGGGCCCACTCTTGCCTGTCAACACCAGCAGACACATACCACTTGCAGCCTTGAAGGTCACCTTCTATTTTCACTTGTACTTCTCTACCAGAGAGGAATTTTTTTCTCCAGACTTAACATGACCTTTGATAAAAGATGTGTTTGTGGTTCCAAGCCAAGATATTTTGGGGGCCTGGTGCTGAAAAGGGGACCTCAACATGGCTGTGGGCCCTAGACCTAAAGGTGCATCTAGAAATCAGACAGGAGGGAGGAAGGGAACTCTCAGCAGCAGAACAAAGAACAAACCACCACGCATGAGACAGTAACTAGTCTCAGTATGAAATCAAAATTTCTATAATGCTGGGGATTTTCAAGGTCATTTTATCATAGACACTTTATCTTGTTTCTCAATTTCCCATAAACAGGCTGCTTTTTGAACTCTCAGCCTGCTGGTGATGCCAAGAAGGCATCTGAGCCAGACACTGGTGAATATGAAGTTCTCAGATCCTTTTGCTGCTTGTCTTAGTCCTTGGTTTTCCTGGGTGTTAACTAGTCCCTCACCAGGAGAGGCTAGTAGTTTTCTTCAATCAGCAAATACCCTGCAAGGACCCTGATTTTCTGGAAATGTTTCACCTTCAGACCTCACCATGGGGAGCCCCTGGCTCCTCCATTGCTGACTAATAAGATTCTCCATAATTCAACTCTCAACTTCCAAGGAGCCTCTTTCAAAGTCCTCTCTCCCCACAGACCAGAACCCCAAAAGCAGGCATGAGAGCTGCCCCAGCAGCACCCAGCAGGCTGCCATGTTCATTTGGACAGTTTCTTGATTGGTTACTGCTCTGAGCATCCAGAAGCACGTTTCAGCAGGCACGTTAGACCCAAGTAGGCCTGTACGTGCTGTTTCCAGTGGGTTTAAGACACTCCAACCTGACCTCCACTGTCCTGAGACCCCAGGACTACCTGACGCTCGCTCTCCACACAGACCACGAGGTCATCACCCTCTCCCAGCAGCCATCCCAGCAGGATTGGGAGTCCAGGGGCCAGCTGGTCCCACTGCTGGAGCAGGTCACACAGCACAACCAGGGCCACATCCAGAGCAATGGAGGCATCCACCTGGCAGAAGGCAAATTCTGTGGAAACAGAGAGGTGAGAGATGAACGTGCTGCTTGGGGCCAGCCCAGGGAGGTTCTACAAGACTCTGGGAATGTGAAGGGCCCCAGGTAAAACCACTGTCACCAGCCTGGTAGGGAAGCTGGTGGGACAGGCTCACCAAAGGTTATTAACCCACTTCTGAGTCCTGCTGTCTACACAGCTAGAGCCTCTCACAGTGTGGACAGGAGCAGACCCACCTGCAGGACAAGACATTTACCTCCCCTTAGCCTGTCTCGTGTAATTGGAAGGATACCAGGAAAGCTTCCCACCCAGAGCCTCCTCTGCAGGCCTGCCACAATGCCCACATTCCAGCGGTCTGCCCCTTCCTCCAGCAGCAAATCCGGCTGGGCACGTAACACACAGAACCTCTAATATGTTAGAACAGGGCAACAGCGACCTTGCTCTTAAAGGGCCAGAGAATAAACCTTTTAGACTGTCACGACTACTTAACTCTGCTCAAAGTAGCCAAAGACAGTAAGTAAACAAATGGTTGTGGCTATGCTCCAATAAAACTTTATGTGCCCCAATAGAATTTGAATTTCATGTCACAAAATAATTCTTATGATTTTTCCCCAACCATCTAAAAATGTAAAAACCATCGTTACAGTTCACAGGCTGTGCAACAACAGGTGGTGGGCTGGAATTAGCTCAGGCTTTGCTGCCGTCCTAGAGTGACTTCGTCTTTCAGACGCGAGTGTTCCTCGCTGCCTGCGTGGAGGGCACCGAAAGAGGAAGTGGGCGCCTTCGGGAAGCCATTGCTTGCTTCACCATTTTGCCTGAGACGGTCCTAAATATGGGTTTGAAGGGAGGCTCAGGGTGTTGACACTTCCGTAAAGAACTCTGCCCCTCCCAACACCAAGCTGGAGGAGGCTTGAAACATGGGACCGGAATCCCACCGCCCAGACGACGAACCTCTGTGGAACCATCCGTGCACCAGCGCTTGTTCTTCAGTAACCCCCTTCTGTGGAGACCTTGTCTTTCAAGTCAATCCACATTTCCAGCTGCAGCCCACAGACGTGTCCCTGACCATGGCCCAAAAGGGAGGTGTTCAGCACACAGAAGGCTCAGCATCTGGAATGGGAGGCTGAGTTCTCCATGGTGTGGAACCAGGCTTAGGCCTATTGTGAGGACCTATTATGGGCTAGGCCCTGACCAAATACTTTCTCTCCAGTCCAACATCCTATGGTTTGGGTATTACCATCCTTACTTCACAGATGAGGAATCCAGGGCTCAGACAGGGTAACCCACTGTGTACAGTCACAGAGCTTTAGGTGGCTATAAAGAAAATGAAATCGACAAGTTTCATGGTGCAATCAGAGCACAGATTTGGAGAATTAGCACAACATTCCAGAGATCTCACCTGCTTTGTGACGAGATAAGCGGGGTTGGTGACCTCCAGCAGGGCCAGGACTTAGAGCTCACGGAGCAGAGCCTTGACTCAGGAAGCAGCCAAGGGACCGGTTACCACGTTCAGAGGCCCAAATCAACCCCAGGACCCCTGCCCCTTAGTGCCCCTGCTCTCCATACAGCTGGCTCTGCAGCCTCGAGCGAGGACTTACACTGGGAAACAGAAAGAGGGGTGTGTATGAAGGTGCATTTTGGCTGCAAGTCTGAGCTAGGTGTTGGTCCAGCCTTCACCTACAATACAATCCCTGTTTTTATCTCTGACTCCTCTGTGTAGTTCTCAACTGTTTTAGAATCTGTAAAGGGAGAAGGCAGAATTAACAGGCATCTTTCAAATCTCACAGAATTAAACATACACAGGAAGACCAATACTGGGTTAAACACAGAGCAGATGCTCAGAACATTCGTTTATGGCTCTGAAATCTTTCCTCACTGGATTTCGTATGAACACTGACAGAGGGATTGCCACAAAGAAAGCATTCAACAAATGGTGAACTAGTATCACTGTTGATGACAACAAACACTTTCCTTCTACTGAACCCTAACTGCTCCGTCCGTGAGGGAAGTATCCCTATTAAATAAGTGAGGAAGCTGTGCGCACAGCGGCTGGGCAAACAGGTCCAAGTCCACCGTCAGTAGTGGTGGCACCGAGCCAAGCTGACCTCAGGGCACAGGCCGCCCCTACCCTGCAGGGGGCAATGAGAAACACTCCCCACACCCTGGGAGATGAGAAGTCAGGCTTGGCTTTATCACCTTTAGTTATTAAAAAGCTCCCAGCTGAGGGCCATATTTAGGGGGGGGAAGGTAAAAGCTGTAAGTCCTTAGTATTGTGACACCTGCAACTGGTCAGCTTATCTTGACACCTTTCTAAAAGATCTGCCCTCTGATTCACCCCCCCTTCTTCTTTATTGTCACCTTAAGGCAAGGGCTGGAAGGCCCACAGGGAAGAAAAAACTTTTCTGTACCAGCAAAAGCAGTGCCTGTAGGTCAGGCAACACTACTATTGGGTCCATCAAGGACACATGGGGCTGATCAGAGATGCGCCCAGGAAGGCCAGACTCCCACACCTGCCCTACCTGCCAGGACTGATATCCTCCCTCCTGCACCACTTTGCCATGAGTCATGCTTAGGAAGTGGCAGGACAGTGATGGGAATAACAGAGGCATGAGAGGAGAACTGGTGCATTGGCTGGAAGTGGATCCGGATGGAATTATAACCACCCAAACACCGATCCTGCAAGATGAGGAGGAAAGGGGAAGGAAAGCTGGGATGGGGGTGGGAGGATGATTAGCTGGATTTAGATCGCCTGCTCAAGGGTCCAGATGCATCCCATCAAATTCCCTTTTTTACTACCTTGTCCTGGAGCAAGACAGCTCAGCCAGAACAGTCCAGATCCCCACTGGCCAAATGCCTTGTGAAGGGGAGGGTGAAGAGTAGGGAGAGGAGTTTTTCGCCCAACCATGAAGGCCAGCTAGGCTTCATAGGCTTGCCAGTCCATCAAGGAAACAAGAAAGCAAGTGACCAAGCAGTAAGTGTGTCCGAAGAACCTGTTATGTGTCCAGAACAGCCAGACAATTTGGAAAACTATAACAAAACTGGAGGACTCGCGATTCTTGATTTCAAAACTTACAACAAAGCTACAGTCATTAAGACAGTGTGGTGGTGGCATAAGGACAGAGACACCTAGACCAATGGACAGGAACTGAGTGTCCAGAAATCAACCTCACACTTACAGTCAGTCAAGTTTTGACAAGGGTGCCAAAACCATTAATTGGGGAAGAAATAATAGTCCTTTCAACCAGTGGAGCTGGGACAACTGGATATGCACATGCCAAACAAGGAAACTGGACCTCTATCTCACGACATAAACAAAAATTAACTCCAAATGTATCAAAGACCGCAACTTAAGGGCTAAAACTATAAAACTCATAGAAGAAAACATGGGCGTAAAGCTTTGTGATCTTGTATTAGGCAATGGTTTTTAAATATGACGTCAAAAGCACAAGCAACAAAAAAGTTAGACTTCATCAAAACTGAAAATTTTTTGTTTCAAAGAATATCATTAAGAAAGTGAAAAGACAACTCATAGAACTGGAGAAAATATTTGCAAATCTTATACTTGACAAGGGATTTGGATCTAGAATACACAAAGAACTTTTAAAACCCAATAATAAAAGAAAAATAACCCAATTAAAACATGTGCATGGGATCTTAATAGATGTTTCTCCAGAGAAGATATACAAATGACCAATAAGCACATGAAAAGATGCGTACCATCATTAACCATCAGGAAAACGCAAATCAGAACCACTGGGATAACTATAATAAAAAAGACAGGTAGTAAGTTTTGGTGAAGATGTGAAGAAACCAGACCTCCCATGCAGTGCTGGTAGAAATGTGAAATGGTGCACCCACTTTGGAAAACAGTCTCAAAGTTTCTCCCACTCTTAGGCATACAACCAAGAGAAATAAAAAAAACATATGTCCACACAAAAACTTGTACATAAATGTTTGGAACAGCATCGTTCATTACAGCCAATAAGTGCAAGCAACCAAAGTATCCACGGCTGTTCCAGGATAATGAAGGCCTGTCCCTGGGAGCTGGGTCTAGACCACAGATGCTCTGGACAATAGTGTCTGGCCCACATCTGGCATTCCCCTCCATTCAGCAAGGATTCCTTTGACCTGAGTACATGAGGCCCTTCCTGTGCCAGGTACAAAGTCGGCCCCTGCCTCCAGACAAACCCTGCCCTCTCCGGCACCTCCCCTGCAGGCTGCCTGCTCCTTGGCGGCTCCACTCCGCTGAGCCTCCCAAAGTGTTCAGTCACCTGCACCTCTTCCTGTGAGGTACGCGCCTTGTGTTTTATTTCTCTCTACATGGTCACTGGCCCCAAAGCACTCCTCCTGGAAGGGGCAATGTGACCCTCTCCCCATCTCCCCGACCCTGAGCCAGTGACGGCAGGCAAAAAAGGTGGGGTACAATGAGGATGCCCACAGACGGTGGGTGTAGGGTGGGGAGGCCTGGGCAACGTGAGATCCCCTTCTTCCATCAGCCTCCTGTCCTCTGCCGGGCAGGGTTCATTCAACGGCTCTGCGGACACATTCCACATTCCTCACTGATGAGCTCGGATCTTGCAATTTCTGTTTCCCTTTCTCTGAAGTCACTCCAGTTTTCTTTAGCTTATTTCACTACTGGAACTTCTTTCTGTTTCTCTCAGGGAATTTCTTCTCAGCCTGAGTTCTGAAGATTGACTAGCTCCTTCTGAGTTCTTCCTAAAGCTTCTCTGGCCCTTGGTGCCACGCACCCCCTTACTCCTCCTGGTCCCCCACTCCCAAACTCACCCCTTTTAGCTTATTCAGGGCTTGAGGTGGGATAGCAGAAGAAACCAAATGACTGATTCATTTCAGCAAAGCTGTCATGACCATAAGGCGCTGAGTTCCCCTGAGGACGAGTCCAGTCCAAGAACAGGACACAGGACAGAGTTCAAGACTGGGGGGCCGCCCAACTCCCCCAACACATTGGTGGAATAATAGAATATAGTGGATGCAGATGGTCCTGAAGTGTAACTGAAGA